ATGCCATTCGAAGCTGGTGTAGGAATGCCCCCGCCACACAACCAGTATGACCCCTGCTTGTGGCTTCGAAACCAGTGCCCAGAGACAGGCACCATCCCCCACTCACCACCCATGAGTCCACAGGTCCAGGTATGAAGAGCATGACAGCTGAGCATCAGCTATGGAAAGATCCGGAGCTCTGGAATCCACCAGATCTGACTCCATGTCTGGGAGGCAGAGTCAAACAACTGAACCTTCTCGAGGCTCAGTCTTCTCATCTGTAAACAGGGGGTAATGATAGCACCTTCCTTGGAAGTTCTCAGCACTCTTAACGGAGGTGATGGACATAAAATGTTCCCCGTATGGAAAGTTCCAGGAGAAGCACGAAATAAAGGCAGTGGGACTAGAAGTGAGGCTTGGTGATGGCGGGGGGGTGGGGGGGGGCTGCCCTGAGTCCCTGCTTCCTATGACCCAGGGCCTGGGCAGCTCCAGGGAACACAGGCTTTCCAGCTGGGACCAGCTAGGAGGTCAACCCAGACAAAGATGACGGTGCAGAGACCAGGGGATGGTGAGGAGAGAGGTTTGCAAGAATCCCAAGCTCCCCCCGGTTCCCGCGCATTCCAGAGACGCCCCATGAGTGAGCAGTTAGAGTTCCTGTGCGCCCAGAGAGGAGCTGCCAAGAGACAGGCCTTGGCGCGTTTCAGAGGCAGGAGGGGATTTGCCCCTGGAAGCCGGCTCCGGAGGGCGATAGGCATCTCCTGGCCATCCGGGTGGTGGGCGGAGGTCTTCACCCTGGCCGCCCAGACCCTGGCTCCAGGGGACGTGGGAGTCCCAGGCCTGGGCTGGCTTGGGAAGTCAAATCCCAGGAGCAATGGAGGGACTCCAGAGAAAGAAGGCATTATGTTGCTGGGGGGCAGGAGGGAGGGGAGAGGTTGGAGTTGAGATAAGCTTCTCTACGGGCCATGGAGCCTGGAGCCTGGAGTGGAAGGATGACAATGGGGGTATTTAGTGGGAATATCAAGGGCAAGGCAGTCAGGGGCCGCCGAGCTGTTACGGGAAACGAGAAGGAAGCCCAAGACTCTGAGGCCTCTTGTCCGCCTCTGAAGGCGGCTCTTCCTTCAAGGATCTCACACTCTTGGTGGTCAGGGACCCCCAGCCGTGCTACACCCCGTGTCCCATGCACACACAGGGCCTGCCCTTTCCTCTGTCCCTGGCAGGACCGGCCCGTGACTGCTCACCCTGCGAGCTCACATACGTAGATGCAGATGTGGGCATAGATCTGATTATAAATAAGTGACCCATCCCTGTGTGACACAACAGAAGTTAGCAGAAGGTACAGAGCGAAAAGTGAGTCCCCTCCCACCCAGTTCTTCTTCCTAAAGCCTCACTGAGCTCAGTCTCTTATGTAACCCCCTAGAAAAAGCCTCTGCCTAGACAAGCAAATATATTTTTATGCTTCAGTGAAAAAGAACACAAATGGTGGCAGATTACATGTCCGTTCCATACCTTGCTTATTTTCACGTAACGGTAGTTCTCTAAAACCGTCCCAAGCCTGATGCTGTGGAAGGTCCTCGAGTGTGGAAGTGGGAGCATTTCTGTAGCCAGTACCGGCTTGATGGACATATAGGTCATTTTTGAGTGTTCTCTGTTACAAAACATAATGCCGCTATGAAGTGCTGTCCCTTCGCCCATGCACGGGTGTGTGTGTGAAGGAGAAGTCTCTAGAAGAGCTGGCTGATAGGGGAGGGGGAACGCATGTGTAATTTTGATGGCCCCACCAGACTGCTCTCTGCAGAACTGCAGTCCCACAAAGCCGTATGCGCTCACGCCTGGGTCCCCGCGGGCTGCCTGGCACCGGGCGCTATCTCGCTTTCAGATCATGGCCCAAGTGATAGGAAAAAACGCTATCTTACTGAGTCTCGTTTGCCTTTCTCTTATCATGAGGTTCAGCATCTTTGTCTGTGTTTCGGAGTTATTTGTAATTCTTTTCTGTGAACCATTCATATCCTTTGCCCATTTTTCCGTTGGTTTGCTCATGTTTTTCCTTACTGATTTATGGGAATATTTTTTATATCGGGAAAGTGAACTCTTTGTCCATGATAGAAGTTGCAGATATTTTCCCCGAGTTCGTCATTTGTTGCTCTCTTGTTTATGGGTATTTTTTTTTCCATGTAGAATTTTTATATAGCTGAAGGTATCAATCTGTTTTATGACTTCCTGGAGTTTGTGTAGTACTTAGAAAGTACTTGGCAAATACCTCACCTCCTCGAGATTATATATTTTTAAACCTCTGTGACTTTTTTCTACTTCTTTTAGAATTTCATTTTTCATGCTTAAAACATTGATCCATCTAGCATTTATTTTGAGGAAAAGTGTGAGGAAGAGATTGAACTGTTTTTTTTTTTACCCCCAAATGGCTCCCTAGCTGTTTCAAAGTCGTTTGGCGAATAATTGATCATTTCCCCACTGCCTTGAAATTCTGCTTTCATCATATATCAAATAATCCCATATGTATTGGGGTCTATTTCTAGATTCTGAGTCTGTCATTCCATCAGACTATGTGTACGAGAACGCACTGTTTTAATTATTGCAACTTTATAATATAGTTCGGTATCTGGGCTAATCTTCTCTACCTACCATACTTTTTCAGAATTTCTTGGTTATTCTTTTGTTATTTTTTTAAATGTGAACTTTAGGATCACTTTGTCTAATTTTAAAAAATCTGTCTTTCGTGTGTGTGTGTGTTTTCAAAGTGAATATGGCTTGTTGTGTACAGTTATCCAAGTTGTATACTGCACAAAGGAGCAGCTGGTGCCCGCCAACAGGGCATGAGCTCTTCTCTCCCGTAGTCTGCCCATCTGCACATACATTCAATGGTAACAGTAGCCACGCCTCCTGTAGTGTGTTCCAGGCGCCGTTCTAACCTCTTTATGTTTTTAAATTTATTTAATCTACACCACAAACGTATCCCCCAATTTACAACTAGGAAATTAAAGTGCAAAAAGGTTGTAGGTAAGTTGCCCAAGGCCAATGATTTGTGTTACCCCCCGTGCATTCACGGCACAGAAACCTGTTCCTGCAGGTAAACACATACACAACACATGCACCCAGACACACACTTGAACACACAGACGCATAGATACACACATATGAAAACACACCTACACACATACACACAGACACTCAGGGGCATGTACACAACACGCACATGGGTACGCACATGCACACACACACACACACGGCTGTCCCCTGCCCCAGTATCCTTTCCCTATCAGGGTCTTGCCCCCTAGAGCCCCCACATGCCCTGCTATGCCCTGCTTTTGGAAGACAGCAGGCCTATCCAGGAAAACCAGCTAGCTGGACTCCTGCCATTGCTCAGGGCCTAGTAGGGCCTCCCTCCCAAATCCTTGTATCAGATGGCGGGGGCGGGGCGGGGGGCACCACACGGCAGGCCCTGGGGGAGGGGAGCCTGAGCCCCTCCCAGGCCTCCTTGTGAGGATAGCGTGAGATGAGGGATGCAGGGATGCTCCAGGCTCGGTGGTACCCAGCAGGTTCTCTGGGGAAAGGGCAGCCCCGCCCTCCTCTTCCCAGCGTCATTATCTCGGCAGCTGCTGGAATCAGCCCATCCCTGCGCGCATCGCTGGCCTCCTCCACGCTGGTGCCCGGAGAGCCGGAGGAATGAGCTGGCACATGCGGACCTGGGTGCAGGTTGCCCAGTGAGCCGCTGTACGGAGGCGAGGGGGTCTGGGTGCAGAGCGCGTGTGCACGTGTGCGTGTGCAAGCGCCCGCCCCGCCCACCCGCCCCTCTGATGTTCTGGCTCTGAGTCAGCCCTGCATCCCAGGGACTGAATCACTGGGGGCTGGGAGTGTTATTGTTTTAAAACAAACGGGTGATGACAGGAACTAACAGAGGGTTTTTAAAAATGAGATTCAAAGGGCTCTTGAACGCTGCTGGGGAATAGGAATGTGCCTTTGAAGTGCGAATGTGCCCATTTGTCAAATGGGGAGCAGAGCGGCTGCCTCAGCAGAGCGTGCTCCCAGCTCCCCGCAAATGGGTGCTTGCTGGCCTCTCTGCCCTCCGCTGCCACCAGAGGCGGGCGAAGGACCCGGGCCAGGGTGGGCGCTGCTCCCCCAGCCCACTCCCCAGAGAGGGCCTTCTGATGGGTTTTGTAAGGCCGTGAGCTCTGTGACTGTTATTAGGAGCCATGCAGAGGGTCAGGAGCAGGGATGGGGTGGGCTTCCAGGAAGACTCTCCCCAGTAGTCACAAGTTATCCACTCATGAGATTGAGACCAGGGGTGTGGGGTGGGGGCGCGATGCAGTCCAGCCAGTTGACCGGGCCCCAGACGTACATCACGGGTGCTGAGTCGTCAGACTGTGCTTGGGGCCAGGGTGAGGCCTTGACATGAATGTGAAGCCGCCTGCAGACCACAGACGCCCAATTCTGGCCAAATCTGAGCGTTAGAGGACAGAAGGATCAAGCAGCCTGGTGGTGGAGGGGGCCCACCGGATGGACTCTGCCCTTGATGTCTTTGAGGGGCTCCCCCAGCCTCGGGGGCAGGACCCAGGATACCTGTCACCTGCCACTGTGTCAACCCACCCCCCTGTTTTCCTTGTGACATTTATATTCCCTTTGACTGAAGTGCAGCAGGTTCCTCCCCCTTCCTTCTGTCCTGGAGGGAGAAATCCAGAAGCACAGGGTATCCAGTGGTTGGGGATCCAGAGGGGAGAGAGACAGAAAGTACCGGAAAGAGGGAAGGGGTGGCAGCAGAAGGAGTGAGCCTGGTGTGGTCTAGGAGGAGGGAGGCGGGGAACTGGTTGGTAGGCGTGGAGGAGTCACTCTGAAGATCAAGCTCTGAAGTCGGACCGACCCAGGTTCAAGTCCTCCCCGGCCACGTGACCTTGAGCAAGTGACCTGGATGCACCTGCTCTGTCTGCCCAGGGGCGTTAGGGCACTACGTGAGCAACCACCCGAAGGCAAGCAGGTGATAACTGGTGGCTTTGTGTGTCTGTTTCCCACAGATGACGTGGCCCCCTATTTCAAGACGGAGCCTGTGCGGACGCAGGTGCACCTGGAGGGGAACCGCCTGGTGCTCACGTGCATGGCCGAGGGCAGCTGGCCACTGGAGTTCAAGTGGCTCCACAACAACAGAGAGCTGACCAAGTTCTCCCTGGAGTACAGGCAAGCCTCGCCTCCCCTCCTCTCCCCTCCCCTCTCCTCCCTCCTGGCTGCCAGGGGAACCAGGATGGGGGCCTGCCTGGCAGTTTGGGGGCAAGAGTTCCCATGCCAGCGCTCCTGGGAGGCTGGGGTGGTGGAAGTTGGGGGGCAAAGACAGCCCTGCCCGAGGAGTAAGAGGCCCCTGCCCTGCTGAGCCCAACAGAGGATGTCTAGGGGGCGGGCCAGGGGTGCTACCCAGACGGAGTAGACCATGCAATAGGGAACAGAGCAGAGGCGATGGTCGGGGTAGGGGACTCCACCACCAGCCGCTGGGCTGTGGTCGTGCCTGTGACCAGAGCCCCTCCTCCCCAACCCCTGAGAACTCTGCTATCTCCTGGGGGCACTGGAGGGGTCTGGGTCCGACACACGGGTGGGGGGCATGTGGCAACGTGGGTTCAGTGAGAGAATATCTTGTATTTGGGGGCAGTGCAGGTGTGACATGGAGGTGGCCTGCCCAGGGCCTTGGGGCTTGTCCCCACTCCATGTTCATGCCCATGCCCGGAGCTCTGGACTGGCCCTTCCCTCCCCAGGACACCGCCAAGTGGGGAGAAAGTGGAGGAGGAATGGCACAGGGTCTCAGTGAAGCGCGTTGTTGCTCCTGGAAGCCCGAGCTACCCCCCAAGCCCAGCCGGGCCTCCAGCATTTTCCTCCTGGCAGTCCCCCCCTCCGGCTCCTATCTCCCATCTCATCTCTGCCTGTTTTTATTGGCTCCCAATCCTGTGGATGGTGATTAATCCCCAGGCCTGATGTGCATAATCGGGTTTGTTGGGGATACAAGATTGTCTTGCCCTGGGGATGTTGATACAGATCTGCGCCAGGGACCAGAAGGCAAATGAGAGGAGGGTGTTTAATTGCTTGAGGATCTGTCCTTTCTGGAGAACCATCCTTTTCTTAGCTGAGCGGGGAGGCCAGAGTTTGGGATGCCCCCCCATCCCCAGGCCCAGGTTCCTTGTGCCCCAACCCTGGACTGCATTGGCTGGTAGGTGTGGCCACTTTGTCAGAGAAGGGAACGGGAGGGTCCGGGACAGGAGGACCACCTTCCTCTCTAGATGTTGAGAGTCCAGGAAGCAGGAGGCCCTCCAGTGCTGGCCACTCTGGGGGTTGGGTCTCCAGGGAGCCCATGAGGGAGACTAGGGGTGCCCCCGTGAGCAGCCCCTATGGCGGTTTTCAGTTGGAGGCCCAGAGCTCTCCTAGCTGCTGCCTGGCGTCCCTTGGGCAGTTTTGACAGCCTCCGTGAAGAGCCGCACCCTTTGGATGGGGGACATGCCTGCATGGGAACGCCGGGAGCATGTAGAGCACGCCACAGGTGTAAGTGGTGTCAGGGCCTCCCAGCCTGCCCCTGACTTCTGCCTGCAGGGAGCCGGGCCAGGATCCGGGAGGAGGAGGAGGAGGAGGGTTGGTTCTTCATCATTCAGTCCTGCCAGCAACCCTATGAGTAGGTTCAATTAGTTGTCCCATTTGACAGACGGGCAGACTGCAGCTCAGAGACATTAAACACTTCACCCAAGGTCAGATTGTTGAGCTGGGCTTCATATACAAGTCGTCTGGCTCCAGGGCTGGAAATCCTTTACATCCAGCGTCTCATCAAGGAAGGACCGCTTCCTTAATATGCATCCCAAGCAACCTCCGCTCACCGTGCCCTGCGGGTTCTAGAAAACAGAGCAGAGTGGGGAATGCAGACACCGTTGACCCTTGAACAACATGGGTTGAGCTGCATGGGTCCGCTGACGTGGGGATGTTTTTGATAAATACAGAACGGCGCCATAAATGTGTTTTCTCTTCCTTATGGCTTTCTTAATAACATTTTCTTTTCTCTAGCCTACTTTCTTGGAAGAATACAGTACGTAATGCATATAACATAGAAAATCCGTGAGAACTGACTGGTTATGGTCCCGGTCAGGCTTCTGGCCAACAGTAGGCTATTAGTAGTTAAGTTTGGGGAGTCCAAAGTCATACATGGATTTTCGACCACATGGGGGTCGGCACCTGGCTCTTTAGGTTACTCAAAGGTCAGTTGGGTGGTTGGGTGGCAATTTCAGGGGGACACAAAGAAGCTTCCACTGGGGAAACTCCTCTCCCTACACTGCCTTCGGAGCTCTTCAGGGTTGCTCCTGATGGCACGCACCTTACCCCCTGCTGCTCCCATCTGAGGTGATACACCGAGACCAAACAGGACCCTCCCATCCCGGGCCCCATGGCAGCCCCCTGCCCGTGCCCTCTGCACTGCCTTTGTTCAAACCATCCTGTCCCCTCTACTTGCAATATTGAGTCTTCTAGAACCTTCTTTCTCTCTCCTGCAGGATCCCAGCTCCTTCAGAAAGCCTTTCCTCATAGTACACACGTGTGTTCTCAATCAATATCTCTCTGTCTCTGTCTCACAACACGTACACACTCACGTCTGCCTCTCTCTGCCCTTTGTGATCGTCCACAATACATCCCATTATACATTTTGCCTTCTCACCATTTATACGCAATGCTACAAGTAAGCCACAGACTGAGGTCAGGGCTTCAGGAGCCTTGGCATTTCCGGGGGTCTCGGGGCTCAGAACTAAGAACTTGGTTCTGCCGGGCGCTCTGTCTCCCCTGGGCTGCTCAGCGGCACCACCTCTGGGTGCAGACTTCATTCTCATGTGGTTAGTGACACTGAGAAGTTTGCGGTCACAGGCTTACAGTCCCATGATTTCAGGGCAGAAGGAGCGTCCCTGGAAGTTCCACATGGGAAGCCCTGGGGAAAGATTCTGATCAATCCAGCTTGGGTCATCCCACTTATTTTTGCTAAGTTATTTAAGAATTTGCAGACATCATGTCACTTCACCCCTAAGTAGAATTTCCCAAGAACAAGGCATTCTCCTACAGAACCACAACACAATGTTCACGCTGGGGAAATGTCCCATCGATATGGTACCCCTGTCTCATATGCGGCCCATATTCACGTATCTCTGTCCCAGTGATGTTCTTTGTAGCTATTTTTACTATTGTTTGATACAAGATCTAATCAAGGACCGCACAGTAAACTTAGTTGTCAGGACTCTTGGACTCCTTCAATCTAGAACCATCCCTCGTTTTTCTCCCATCTTTCATGGCATTGACATTTCTGAGACCTCAGCCAGCTTTGCAGAATGTCCCCCAGTATAGATTTGTCCAGTTCTAGCCTCATGATTAGACTCATGTTAAACCTTTTGGGCAAGAGTATTACCCAGATGTGTGTCCTTCTCAGCGCTTCGTACATGAAGGCACTCAGTATCATCTTACCCCATTATTGGTGATTTGGGTTTGATGAATTGGTCAAGGTGAGGTGCACCAGATTTCTCCATTGTCAAGGTATGGAGATATCCCCTTGCCTTTAGGGGATAACTGGAAACTGTGAATAGTCTCCTCCCCAGGAATCCCTCACCCGGTGGTTGAGTATCCATGGATGAGTCTAACCTGAATCCATTATTACCATTGTGGTGGTGATAAGCGGATTTTCTACTTCTATCATTTTTTTTAACTTATATTTGTCATTCTTTTGTAAAAGAGATCTTCCCTTTCTCATCTTCTTTAAAATAATATAGCATCAGTATGAACTGATGGATAATTTTTCCTATTCAATGTGTCTTGATCTATCCCTGTCATTATTCATTTTGATGCTCAGTAGTAACCCATAATTGGCCAGTGGAGCTTCTTCTAGCTGCATCCTGGGTCTTTTGGACATGTCCCCCCCCGGATTTCCAGCACTCTCTTGCCTTTTGGCTCAATAAAATGTTCCAGATTTGCCTTTGAAATACATGCACACCAAAAATTGCATCCCAGAGGAGGGTGGCCAGCTTCTCATCCCGTGGTTCTCTGAGCACTGCTTTCTACTTCCTAGTCTCTTGCAAACCCCAGGCTCTGAGTTGGGTGATAATATCCAATTTTCAGGCAAAAAGATGGCTGAATTTACTCAGCAAGTCAAGAGAAAATAAGATTCGAAGTGCCGCCATAAATTTCACTGTTTCCTACCCCGTCTCCAAAGGAAGAAGTTTGCATTCACATCCAGTTTCCACTGGCCTTTATTCTCAGTGGGATCTGTAGCCAAATGGGCGTGACGCACGTACACGCACGTGTGTGTGTGTGCACGCGTGCGTGTAACATCTACACAAAGGGAAGCCTGTGCATCCTTCTGAGCATGAGTGTCTGGGATGAATCTGTGGGGCCATATCCATCCCGGGGGGCAGAGTACAAATAGCATGGACTTCGGAGTTAGGGCCACCTGAATATAATCACGCTCCTATCACTTCCTGGCTCTGTGACCTCGGGCAGAATTAGCCACCGTGCACTTGTTTTCTTTTCCTGGAATCAGGCACGTGCCTACTTTAGAAGGTTACAGTAAGAATTAAATGAGATTCTATGGGACGAGGTCCGTCGCTGATGTCATGGAATAGATGGCACCTGCTAGGATTATACGGGGTGTTTGTCTCGACAGAATAACAGCACAGGTCTGGTAACAAACCTACCAGATCTCACGTGCAAGTGAGCACATCTCTGAGGTGGTCGCGGGGACCCTCTCCACCCATTCCAATGCCACTGTTATGGTCCGGGACCCTTCTTAGAACTCTTTTTGTCTTATCAAGTGCTGTGAGAGCCCCTTGTTGGTGACCTATCTTACCTGTTTTGTAAACCAGCCTTGAACCCCCAGTTTGAGAAATAAAGTGGCTGTAACAGTTTACAGGCTGTAAAGTGGGGGGTACCACTTGGGTACAAAGCACTATCGGACTCTAAGGAAATGAGATCTCTTTTCCCATGTGGGTGGGACAATGCATGGGAAGACCCTCCCAAAGCTTTGGGCGCCGTCCCCCTGCCCACTTCTGTCAGTCGAACAGGTGCACGGCTTCCCACAGTGACTCTCGGAGTGTGTGTTAGGGGTGGGTGGGAGGGGTGGGAGGAAGCTGAACACAATACTTAGTTGGAGGCCTAAGGTCTAATGTGTTTTTAACCTCTGTGCA